GGCCCAGAGAGTTTCAGGGCTGCCAAACAGCCATGACAGCAGGGTCTCCACAGGGGTCCCTGGTGTCTGGGAGCTTCCCCTCCCCCTCCCACCCTTCTTTTTGGAAGGGCAGAGGGAGAGTGCAGAACTGTAGAATACCAGGATCCTAGGGACCCCCATAGTCTGATGTGCACCTGAACAGGTATTACATGTGGTGCTAGAAAACAAGGAAGATGCTGTTTGAAGAGCCAAGCAGTTGTTCTCAGAATCACTAGATTTCTTTGACCACAAACTGCTTGAGCACCCATACATTTCCTCTTTGTGCTGTGATATAGGCATTTTTCCTGACACAAATATAATGCCTGTCCATAGTCTTAGGGATATGATAGGGAAAGTTAGAAATACTAGAGAGATTGTAACAGCCACAAGAATGGATCCGGCACTTGCTAAAACTGTATATTTGGCAGGGAATTGTTTCCAAAATGTTACCCAAATTTAAGTTTGCCAGTTTTGCAGAACCTTGGCATATCAAAAACTATTTTTGTACTTATTTTAATTTTTCAGTAAGTAACAAAATGAACGGTTAACAATAGCTGAAACTAAGAATCCTGTCTCTTTTTTTTTTATGCACCAAAACCAGCCTGTTGAAGAAGATTAAACTATTATGGGTTTTCTAGGGATCCAGAATTAAGAGCATAGTAGACTTTGACCCAACATAAAATGGTTTATGTAGTTAGCTGTACTGTTCAGTCTGAAAAGCAAAACAGGACTTTGTTAACAGAACTTTATTTTGGTTACGGAAGTTATCAACGCAGTGATGGCATTCTTGTTTTCCCATCATCTGCAATGGAATCAACCCTGCGGGTTTTTTGGGGTGGTAAGTGTTGACTATGGTATATTTTTCTTGTTAACATTGTGTAGTTTATTGAATTATGGATAAGTTTTCAAAGGAAAAAAGTGGTAAAAACATAACTGAAAGAAAGGGAAAGGGCAAGAAAGATTAATGCACTCGCTTGTTTTCACTTGACAATCAATAGCAGACTGAGTCAGCCAAAATTATTCTAAATAATATTGGAAATATGACTTATCTTTTTCAGTTGGTGTGACTCAATAATATTTGAGGATCAAAGAAAACATTTTGCCATTTTGAGTGTCAATTATTTGTTTCTTACTGAGAGAAACTGAAAAAAAAAAAAAAAAGACTTTAAAACAAATTGCCCTGAAGGGATGGAAGCGCTATGTATTTTACACTACTCCCATTTAGGAATATTGTTATTTAAAGTTCTTAGTTTCCACATAATGGAATAAAAATGCTGAACCTTTTTTAATATATTTCTGTAATTTCATAATCTCACTTGTCCTTTTGTCATACAGATGAGCAAACATCATCTCTTTACTCAGGCTCAAAAGGATTTCTATGATTAATAGGTTTATATTGGTGCATTTTTAAAAAGATCTCATTTTATATTAATAAGCATAGTTACATTTTAAGGTACAAAATTATCACGCTGCACAAGTAAGCCTTTTCCAATCATTTTTAGAGCTATAAATCATGTAGTAGGCTACATAGTTTAGTGAATTATTATATTAGGGCACTACATTTTTGGAAGAAAATTACTTAATAGTATGGATAAATTTAGCTCAAGGTTTTCAAAAGAACATTGAAATTACATGGAAGTTAGCTACCCACCATCGTTATTCTTCTCTGAAAATTCAAACCTTAACTCTATAGCATCTACAGTACAAAAAAACCTGTAAAACTAATTGTTGATAAGTATCCAAGTACCAATGGAAAACAATGTGTATTGAAAATCCTGCACATACCCAGGTAGGTAAGGATGGTAACCTTGATACCCAATCATAAATTAACCGATCTGTTGCTCAATTTGGTGTATATGAAATGTAAGTTGACTTGAAATTAGCATGATTTCAATCAGGCCACTCAGTAAGATTGATAATAATTTTTAAAACACATAATAATTTCTTCTCATAGAAACTAATTTCACAAATCACTGTTCTTGAAGTTTATGCCAGTCCTCATGTTCCTGGCACCTTCTAAAAGCCAGGGTTGTGAAAGTTGATTTTATGAGTACATGTATAAAGGTGTGCACGTTGCCTCCATCCCAAGTTTCTGTTTTCTCTCCTTGCTGTTGTTCTTTTGACTCCTATTTCACTATTTTGAAATCCTCTGGTAGTTTTATAGGTTTGTATTTTTTGCAAAGTTTTATTTCCACATCAGTGGGCATAAGAAGTAGTAGCAGCAGCAAAAGTATTATGAGTATTAATACTGTTCCCAGAGTTGGAGTGACAGAACTGCTATGACCCAAGCAAAAAGTTTGTCCTAACAAAAAAAATTATTTTGAGGCAAGTAAAAATTTCAAATGTTTTAGGAAGGTCACTTATGCACTGTCCCTTTTGGCTTAAAAAACACCAAGAAAGAAGAAAATAAGAAAAAGAAAGAAACCCACATTGGCACATAATTCTAACCTCTGGTTTCTTTGCCAAAGACTTTCTGTAATATTTCCTAGATCTCTGCCTCCTATCTCGTTGGTTCCTCCTTGTCCCAGAGCAAAACTAGAAGCAAAATTGCACAAAACAAAGGTTTTAATATTAACATGACTGACAAAATGTAGAAATATAATTTAATCTTACTGGATGCATCTACATGTGTGCTTTACTGTGTACTGAGTAGACTAATTAGCTCCTCAGTCTACACGTGCGCTGATATTAGTGTGGAGTGAACTAATTAACTTGGCCATAGGATAGTATAGTTGGGGACCATACTGTCTTACAACAGAGTACTTTACTGCACTGAAATGCAGGTGTAGATAGTGACCAAGGGTGTAAATTGTGCCCTGCCAGCCAGCTGGGGGCCTGCTGTACTCAGATTGCTGCTGTTGTGGGCACATATGTAGATGCTGCACCTGGGAGCGCTTGACTCTGGCATAAAGTGCTCTGGAGTTTATTGCATTGCATTAATTGCAAGCGTAGATGCCCCCACTTTTGTTTACTAAGGGTAAAGTTTCAGAAGTTCTGAGTCCTACAGAAATTTTTTCTGCTCTGTTTTAGAAAAGATGTTCTCTGGTCTGTGGAATGAATTAAATGTGCCTTTTCAAACTACCTCTATGTTACAGAACAAGAATTACTGTTGATATCTGTGTAACATTGTGCATTTTCAATAAATGACTGTAAAGTCAATGGGATTCAGACTTCTAAGTGACTTTCATGTTTCTGAAAATGAGATTTCAACTTCCAAGTCACTTTGGTGATTTTGAATTTTTTTCCTTAAAAAATGTAGCATCATATCTTTGACTGGGGGGAGGAGGGGGTGGGAGCAGGCAGCAGGAATTTCCTGGTGTGGCAGGACAACAAGAAGGCTAAGACTCAGACCCTTGCAGGGATAGCGAGCCTCAGACCTTTGCAGGGGTAGCGAGGCTACATCTTTACTGTAAATAATAATGGGTTATTTCCACACTAGAAGCCTAAGTAATATACTATAGACTATGTGCAGCAGCTTACTTACCCTAAGCCCTCTCATTGTTGCTGCAGCTGGTCAACCCAGGACTCTGCCCCTTCTGTTTCCTGGGGCCACAGAGAAGCAGGAGCCATTTTGACAACCATTAGAGCACACGGTCTGCATACTTCTATTCTCCCTACTTCTTTTCCAGCAAAGAAATATCAACTTCCCTACTTAAGAGAGACACCCTAATTGTAGAGGGTTGATTTCTGAAGGGAAGTTGTGTGAGTAAATATACTAAGCCAATTTAAGGTCAGAGGCAAAATGTACCTTACCTTGCATATGCAAGAAGCAGGCTTTGTTTGATAATATCTTTTATTGGATCAACTACATAGTTGGGAGAGATTACACAAGATACCCTTTCTTGGGTACAGGCTACAACAGCACTTCAACATGGAGGATATTGAAATTCACTATTTAAAATGGAGAATTCACAACATTAAGAAAGAAGGAAATCAAACAAACAGGCCCATACCTGAGGAAGGGCATTTTGTGTCTAAAAGCGGTCTAACATCTTTCCCAACTACATGGTTGGTCCTATAACAAGTATTAGCAAATAAATCCTGCTTCTCGTATGTTCCTTGAATCACGGTTACTACAATAGTAGCTCAGCACTTACCTTGCACTTTTTATGCAAGTATGTCTTGTGTGGCAGAATCAAGT